GACTTTTTTCACTTAGCATCATGCCATTAGCATAAGGTCCATCCATGTTGCAAATAGCAGAATTTCCACATTTTTTATGGCTAAATAATATTCCATTGTATATGTACACATTTTCTTTATCCATTTATACATCAATGAACACTTAGGTTGTTTTCATATCTTCTGTTGTAAACAATGCTGCTATGAACAAGGGAGTCCATATATGTTTTTGAGTTAGTGTTTTCATTTTCTTTGGATAAATACCCAGGAGTGGAATTGAGTAGTTTTACTTTTAATTTTTTGAGGGACCTCCATACTGTTTTCCATAGTGGCTGTACCAATTTACAATCCCATCTACGGTGCACAAGGATTCCCATCTACATCCTCACTAGCATTTGTTATGTCTTGATGATAGCCATACTGACAGGTGTGAGGTGATATCTCATTGTGGTTTTTTGTTGGGTTGGTGGGTTGGTTGGTTTTTTTTGTTGTTTTTTTTTTTTTTGCGAGGGGAAGATTCCCCCTAAGCTAACATCTGTGGACAATCTTCCTCCTTTTTTTCCCCTTCCTTTTTCCCCACTCAAAGCTCCAGTACATAGTTGTGTATAGTTGTAAGTTTTTCTGGTTTTTCTCTATGAGCCGCCACCACAACATGGCTGCTGACAGATGAGTGGTGTGGTTCCGCGTCTGAAAACCGAACCCAGGCTGCCGAAGTGGAGCACACCGAACTTTTAACTGCTAGGCCATCAGGGCTTGCTCTCATTGTGGTTTTTATTTGCATTTCCCTCATGATTAGTGATGTTGAGCATCTTTTCATGTACCTTTTCTGTATGTCTTCTTTGGAAAAATGTCTATTCAGATCTTCTGCCTGTTTCTTAGTCGGATTGTTTTTTTGCTATCAAGTTGTATGAGTTTTTTATATATTTTGAATATTAACCCCTTATCAGATATATGATTTACAAATATTTCTCCTGGTTAGTAGGTTGCCTTTTCCTTTTGTTGATGGTTTCCTTTGCTGCACAGAAGCTTTTTAGTTTGATGTAGTCCCACTTGTTTATTTTGGCTTTTGGTGTCAGATCCAAAAATTCATTACCAAGACCAATGTCAAGGAGCTTACTGCCTGTGTTTTCTTCTGGGAGTTTTACAGTTTCAGATCTTGCGACATTTTGTTAACTGTTTTCTGGCTGTTTTGTAGTTCCTCTCTATTCCCCTTTTTCTCTTTTTCTCTTCCTTTATGGTTTGATGACTTTCTTTAGTAGTATGCTAGATTCCTTTTTCTTGATCTGTTGTGTATCTAGTATAGGTTTTTGCTTTGTGGTTACCATGAAGCTTACATATAACAACTTATATTTATAACAGTCCATTTTAGGTTGATAACAACTTAAGTTTGAGTGCATTCTCAAGCTTTACATTTTTACTCCCTTCCCCCATGTTTTTAGTTTTTGATGTCACATTTTATATCTTTTTATCTTGTGTATTCCTTAACTAGTTATTGTAGTTATAGTTGTTTTTACAACTTTTGTCTTTTAGCCTTCATACTAGCTTTATAAGTGATTAGTCCACTACCTTTATTATATATTTACCTTTACCAGTGAGATTTGTACTTTCATATGTTTTCTTGTCACTAATTAGTGCCCTTTCTTGTCCACTTAAAGAAGTCTCTTTGGCATTTCTTATAAGGCCAGTTTAGTGATGATGATCTCTTTGGCTTTTGCTTATCTGGAAAACTCTTTATCTCTCTTTCAATTCTGAGTGATAACTTTGCCAGATAGAGTATTCTTTGTTGGAATCTGTGTTCTTTCAGCACTTTGAATATATTGTGCCACTCCCTTCTGGCCTGCAAAGTTTTTGCTGAAAAATCTGCTGATAGTCTTATGGCAGTTCCCTTGATGTAACTAGTTGTTTTTCTCTTCTGTTTTGCTTTTAAGATCCTTTCCTTGCCTTCAACTTTTGACATTTTAATTATAATGTGTCTTGGTGTGGGTCTCTTTGGGTTCATTTTATTTGGAACTCTCTGGTGTCCTGGATCTGGATGTCTGTTTCCTTTCCCAGGTTAGGGAAGTTTTTAGCCATTACTTCTTCAATAAGTTTTCTGCCCCTTTCTTTCTCACTTCTCCTTCTGGGACCCCTAAAATGTGAATGCTACTCCAATTGATGTTGTCCCATAAGTCCCTTAAGCTACCTTCACTTTTTTAAATTCTTTTTTCTTTTTGCTCCTCTGATTGCATGAGTTTCACTGTCCTATCTTCGAGTTCACTGAACCTTTCTTCCTCTTCATCTAATTTGCTATTGAATCTCTGTAGTGTATTTTTCAGGGCAGTTGTATTCTTCAGCTCTGTGACTTCTATTTGGTGTTTTCTCATATTTCCCATCTCTTTGTTGAGATTCTCACAGTGTTCATCCATTCTTCTCCCTAGTTCAGTGAGCATACTTTGAACTATTTGTTCAATAAATTACTTAATCGCTGTTTCATTAAGGGTTTTGTCCTCAGGTTTTATCTTGTTCTTCTGTTTGGAACATATTTCTCTGTTTCTTCATTTTGCTTGACTCTCTGTGTTGGTTTCGATGCATTAGATAAAACAGCCACTTCTCCGTCCTGAAGGGTTGGCCTCATGTAGATGAACTTTATCATTCAACCCTGCCCTAGCTCTTGATTATCTCTCAAACTTTTGTTCTTGTCCAAGCATCCTGTTATAATCTTAAATATCTCCCAGTAATTGAGAGTGTGCCAAGAGTTGTCAGTGTCCCAAAGGGAAGGATCTGACTCAGCACCTAGATTCAGGCTGATTGGAAGCCAGACCCTCAAGCAGCAGCTTTTGAAGTATTCAAATATATATAGTCCTGTGGGACCACAGTTGTAAACCCTGCTGGCCGCTTGAGCCAGGCGATCTGCAGCTATCCCCTGGGTGGCACAAAAATTAGGACCCCAGATTGTATAAGCTCCTTTCTGGGAGATATCAGTGAGCTATAGCAAGGCAGAGGGAGAGTGAAAAGCTTGCATCCACTGGCCCACATGAGACTGCCTCTGTGGGCCTCCAGGTGTGTGCCAAACCTGAAGCCTGCCCCTTAGGTCAAAGCTCTGGGACAAGCAAATAGGTCTCTTTCACAGAAAGACTGGGGCTGTTTCAGTCTGCCTTCTGTGCAGTGCCCTGGGGTGGTAGCCTGCCAAGAACTGTCTCTCTGTTACAATCCCATGGGACCCTGTCCACCAGAGCCAGGCGATCAAGGGGCATCCCCTGGGCAGCAGCCTCAAAAACCAGGGCACCAGATATGAGTAAGAGCTCCCCTCCAAGAGATACTGGCCCTCCAGAGCACAACAGAGGGAGAGTGTGAAGATAGTGTCTGTCCTCCAAGGTCTCTGGAAAGGATTACAGTTAGCTCTTAGATTTGTGTTTAATTAGAAGTCTGCCCCTCAGACTGCAGCAAATAGGCCTCTTTCACAGAAAGACTAAACTCCCGAGTCTCTTGCCTCTTGCTGTGCCCTAGGGGTGATAGCTATTTAAGAATTCTTTATACATTGGTTACAGTTCTGTGGGACTTGCAAGCATAAGCACTGCTGGCTACCAGAGCCAGGTGATATTGAGGTGTCCCCTGGCAGCAACTGCAAAAGTTGGGGCACCAACAAGGGTAAAAAAGCTCCTTTCTGTGTGAAACCAGCAAGCTGGAGCGAGGCAGAGGGGGAGTGCAAAGATAGCATCCACCAGTCTACATTCCAGACATAAAAACTAGGGCACTAGAGGCATGTAAAAGCTGCTTTCTGGGAAATATTGGCACTTTGGAGTGCGGCAGAGGAGAGCTCAGAGATGGCATCCACCGGCTGGAGCAAGGCAAATGGGGAGTGTAAAGATAGTGCCTGCCAGTGTCTGTCCCCAGAGAGTTTCCCAGCAGGCCCCTAGACGTGTGCTCAATTAAATGCCTGCCCCTCAGGCCAATGCTTTAAGATTAGCAAATGAGCTTCATTCACATAAAGTCTGGACGGCTCTGATTGGCTGACTCTGTGCTGGGCTCTGGGGCGGGAGCCATTTCTCAGTTCCTTTTAGCCTTGTGGGTCTTGTGGACGGAAGCCTCCTTGGTTTTCAAAGCTAGATGTTTTGCGGCACGTCTCTCAGGTGCAGGTCTTAACGGCTGTGGTGCCCAATGTGGGGTTCAAACTGTTCCCTCCTCAGGGAGAATCTCCATGTTTTGAGTTCCCTCCCATTTGTAGGTCGGTGCACCAACGGTGAGGTTTATGGCGAGATTGTGTGTCAGCCTCTCCTACCTGCTTTAGTGTGGTTTCTTTCTCATTTGCCCAATGTGTAGGAGTCACTCACCTAGTTTTTAGGTTTTTTTCCAGAGGAAATTGTTCCATATGTAGCTATAGATTCAGTGTGTCCGTGGAAGGAGGTAGTTCAAGATCTTTCTATATCGCCATCTTGAATCAGAACCCAAATATTTATCTTGCAAAAATAGATACTATTTTCTGATTAAATCCCAAGTACATACTGGTATATAACTTTTTCTAATATATATACGTGTTTTTCTGTATGCATCTGTTTTTAATATTTTAACATTTTTAGCAGCTCATCTATACATTTAATTTTCTTTTAAAATTTTCTAGAAAAGCAGTCTTGACTTTTAGTCAGATTTTGCCAAATATAGTGAAAGCTATGAAGCAGCCTCCACTCAAATAAATTTTCTGGATTAAATGTTCTCCATTTCCTTTATGAAGATACTGATTGATGCTAATGGAATGCTCAAAACTCAAAAATGGCCTGTTTGTTCACTTCTGCTCTGCCCAGTTGAAGTGTATGTTTTCTAAAACATTTCTCTTTTTCATGGAAACCACAATTCTCTTTTTTGGGGGTTCATATTTTTCAGTTTATATAATATTTAACTCAGTTATATAATTATAACAAGTGTCACCTGCAGTAAAGATTCCATCTATAATGCATGACCATTGTTAATATTAGAACAATTTAGGAATAATTTTATAAATTTACCCCTAAAATCTAATCTAATGTTTCTTCTTTCTTTCTCTTTAGCCTATACAGTAACCCAGGTGGAATGCCTCCTTATGCTTCTCAGGGTTTTCCGTTTCTTTCTCCATATACCCCACAAGAAGCTAACCGGACTATCACTTCTTTATCTGTTGCTGACGCTGTTTCTTCTTCAACAACAAGTTATACAACAGCCAAACCTGCTGCTCCTTCGTTTGGCATCCTTTCAAATCTGCCGTTACCCGTTCCCACAACAGACATTTCGGCACCGGTCGGTATCTTCAGTTACCTGTATTTTGTAGCTTCAAAACATTCAATCAATCAGCAAACTTTTATTATATGCTTCCTTGTGCCAGCCACTGTTAGGCACAAAAGATAAAAAGATTAAATCACTTTTTCAACTCAGGTAACAAACTCAGAGAGGTGACCGAGGAATAATCAAATAATTGCAAATAAGGAACCTCCCAATAGAGTAGAAAAGATAGTCTAGAGTTATGGTGGAGACACAGTTGGGGGAATGGTCAGTGCTCCCAGGGACCAAGGTAGAACTAGAAGGAATGCCTTTATAAAAAATGTGATTCTGGATGCTGGCCCAGTGGGGCAAGCGGTTAAGTGCGCGCGCTCCACTGCGGCGGCCCAGGGTTCGCCGATTCGGATCCCGGGCGTGCACCGATGCACCGCTGATCAGGCCATGCTGTGGCGGCATCCCATATAAAGTAGAGGAGGATGGGCGTGGATGTTAGCCCAGGGCCAGTCTTCCTCAGCAAAAAAAGAGGAGGATTGGCAGATGTGAGCACAGGGCTGATCTCACACACAAAAAAACAAAACAGTGTGATTCTGGTTTTTTTCACTACTTTATCCTTAGTGCCTCAAACCATGCCTGATACATACAGTAGGTGCTCAGTTAAAACGAAGCAGATAAATGAATGCATTTTCTTGAGACCAGATTTTGAGAGATGGTAATGAATTTGCCAGGATGACAAGGGGTTATATATAAAGCATTCTGTAAGGAGCCAACAGCACTGATAAAGCTGTGGAGGCATAAACCAGATGGCATATTCGTGAAGCTGCCTAGAATAGATCTCTCTGGCTGTCATATAGGATATAGGCAAAGGCACACAAAGCGATCATGTAGTAGAAGCAGGTAAGAGATTGTGGAGGGACTGCTATAGCATGCTAGGGGCTTCAAGTGTCCCATTGGTTTAAAAATTATACGTTCTTAAGTTAAGCTGATAACTGTTGCCATGTGGGATGTTACTGAGGGAAAGACTAATACTTTGTGCATAAAACATATAAAGGGATTTAAAAACCTTCATTTTTAACCCTTAGTGAATATCCCCCATAAAAATACTCAAATACTGTAAAACCTTATTATATCCAACTTTACTAATTTTATTGTTTGTAATAATTTAGAATATAGACCCAGGTGGACTTTTTTCCCCCAAAACCTTCATCATTGCATTAATGAGTATTATAAACAAACTACAGTTAGTAGTGTAAACAAAATTATAAGAGAACTTTTTGGGGGTAATCAACTTTAAAAAGTCATCTATATTCAAACAATGGACACACTATTCCTTATCTACCCTGCCGTCTCATTGAACTTAAGTACGTAACTATTCAGACTTTTGCCAACTTTAATTTTTTTCTATGCTTAATGCCTTTCACTTGAGACAAATGTATTCATATATATCAATGAATCCACAGATAATTCTCTACTCTTGTCACAGATACACTTAAGAGATTTGTTTTACAGCCATATACTTGCCTAAGAAAGAGCTAACACAGCTGCTCACATGATCCCCACTAAAAAAACAAAAAGTAGCCCTATATGTATAAAGGTACACTGAAAAAAAAATAGAATGAAGGCAAAAGGGGAGAGTAAGGACAATGTAAAGTGCGAAGATGAAGATGTGATAATGAAAACAGTTAGGGGGCTGGCCCCGCGGCTTAGTGGTTAAGTGTGCGCACTCCGCTACTGGTGGCCCGGGTTCGGATCCCAGGCGCGCACCGACACACCGCTTCTCCGGCCATGCCGAGGCCACGTCCCACATACAGCAACTAGAAGGATGTGCAGCTATGACATACAACTATCTGCTGGGGCTTTGGGGGGCGGGGGGGAAAGGAGGAGGATTGGCAATAGATGTTAGCTCAGAGCCGGTCTTCCTCAGCAAAAAGAGGAGGATTAGCACGGATGTTAGCTCAGGGCTGATCTTCCTCACAAAAAAAAAACCAAAAAACAGTTAGGGGATGTAATACGTTAAAAATTACTTTCATAAGTAAATAGGAGGAGTCAAAAAGATGGCTGAAATTTAATACCATTTCAAACTCTCTTTAGATAAGCCAAAATGGTTTTGGTTACAAGATGCCAGATGTCCCTGATGTATTTCCAGAACTCTCAGAGCTAAGGTAAAAACCTTGGAGACTAGCATTGGTATTTGTTGTCTATTTTATTTGTAAATATAAACCAGATCATCATTTTTATATCCATATTAAATAAAAAAATTTTTTTAAATCTCACTGTTCCTACATTGTGGTTATCTTAGTGGGAAGGTTTTATAAATCAGTTTTATGTCTTGTAGGTTGTATTTATTGAGTGACTAGTATGTACCCAGGAACTTTTATAGATGCTGGGAATGACATAATAGTTACCAGGATAACAAGGTCCTTTCTCTCAAGTTCTTTATTTACATTCTTGTGAGAATTATTTCTGAATACATTATTCCTGGAAATTTCAAAATTTATCTTGGCCTATTTTAGACCTTTTCATTGTTCCTTTGTTAGATAGAACTTGGTACATAGAGAAATAGATTAACGTTCTCATAAAGTAATAGCGAGGTGTTTTTACAGAGCCAAATTTTATTCAAATTTATGGCAAGTAAGTTTGTAACATTCAAGTTTAAGCTGCTGTTTCATGGAACACTGCTTCTCTCAGATGCTCTATGAAAAAAGTGTTTTGTGGCCACTTGACTTTGGGAAGCATTGCTTCCTTTATACCTCCATTAAAGGTTTACAATGCTGATAAGGCTGTTATTATTAAGACTACTCAATGCAATTAAAAAAATTTTTTTTGCAGTGCTTTTTTTCTTTAGGATATATCCCACTGGGAATGTACAGCCAAATACCCATGAGAAATTCTATAGTTAAAAAAAAAGTTAGCTTCATTTGACCCAGTGTTCTATGTCATTTTTAGGAAATGGTAATTTATTATTTTTTTTAATGAAGGTTTACAATATACCACATAAATGTTGAGTTTATAGGCATTGTAATGCTTTCAACAACCCCATGAAGTAGGTACTATTATTGTTCCCATGTTATAAAAGATTCTCTTTTTTTCCTTCCTTCCTTTTTAAAAAAATTATTATGAAAATGTCAAAAATACAAAAAGGTGAACCTCTTGGCTTGTCTTGCCTCATATACCCTTCTTCCAGCTTTTTTGAGGAAATATGGGTATGGGTCAGGATTATTTTAAACCAAATCCCAAATATTATATCATTTTTACCCACAAGTTCTTCACTAAATTTCTCCACCAGGTGAGGACTTTTTCTTTACCATAACCCCAATCCATATCATCATCATACCTAACAAAATTAATGATAATTTTTTAATATTGCCTCGTTTCCTCAATGTCTTAATAATTAAATTTTTTTCTTGGTAGTTTATTTGAATCAGGATTCAAAACAAGGCCTACCTATTGCATTTGAATACTGTATCTTTTATGTTTCTTCTAATTGTCAGCCATTTCTCTCCACCTTTGTTAATATATATATACACACACACACACACACGTAACATATATCACACATACATATGCATACACAAATTTACATATTCATATAAGTACATATTTATGATACGTATAAGTTATATACATATTATGTTGTTATATATTTATTGAAGAAATTGGTTATTTGTCCTAAAGAATTTCCCATACCCTGTTTTTGCCTGATTGCGTCCTTGTGGTACCCCTGAAGATCTTCCTCTGTTTCCCGTATTTCCTTCTACTTGTGGCTAGATCTAGGGTGTTGATTAGATTTAGGTTCAGTTTATATCAAATCATTGCCTTGTACACCTTAAACTTATACAATGTTATATATCAATTATATCTCAATAAAGCAGAAAAAAAAAGATTTAGATTCAATTCTTTTGGCAAGACACTTACATCATAATTAGTGCATACTTCCTATTACATCACATAAAGCAGCAATGATGTCTCGTTGCCCTATTTTTAGTGACATTAGGATTGAAACAGGTTGAAACACCTGAAATCATTGACTATCCGTTATTTCATGAAGGGTTGCAAATATGATTTCATACGGCCAGCAATAGCCAGAATTCTATGAAGAACTTCAAATCAACTGTTTAGTTGTATTGAAATACACTTCATACAGGAAAGGCAAGATAAATGCTTGATTTTTTTTTCTCTTTATCAGTTTTCAGAATAATGAGTTGATACACAAGCAAACTCCAAAGGTTCTGATAGGCGAGGCTTTTTGTTTGTTTTTGTAGTTTTTTTGTGTGTTGTTATAAACTTATAAATTTAAAAATATATATATTTGATGTGTTTTAATCCGTTGTACTCATTATTCTTTCTGATAAGAGTCAATAGGAAACTCTTCAAGTTGTCTTCTATGTCCTTTCTGGCAAAACAAAGATGCAAGGGGCTCATTGTAAACATTTCATTTCCCTGACCTGAAGTCAGCTATTTCTCTGACAGGCACTTGTTCTTTTTCAAAATAACAATATCAATATTATTATTATTGATTGCAGGATAAGTTTTTGTTTCTGTTTTTTACGTTTCTTCTGTCTTTAGGATATGTCACACCAGAGATGTATAGCCAAATACTATTTTTTAAAGTCTCTTCAGATACTTCTCTGGATGATTATATAGCTTAGAATAAACAGGTTCATTTATTCTCATTCGCTTTGAATTTTAGAAACTTCTTTTTTTATTTAATTTTGTTTTTAAGTTATTTAATGCTTCTATGGATCTGTAGTCAAAACTAAAAGATATGTTCGGAAAGGTTTAGCTTCCATCCCTATCCTGTCCATCCAGTTCCCTCTTTATCCTATGGATATTGATTTTTGTTTTTGGTTTAGCCTTCATGGTTGCTTTTCTTTAAATATTTTATAAATATATGTACACACACACATGTACATATCTTTTATTGTGATAGCCACACACCTATTAGCTAAATAGGCACCAAGGTTAAAATTGGGAGGTTGTTATGGCTGTTTGTGTACCCTAGTATTCATAGTCCTGTAGTAATTTGATGGTACATTCAGACTATGCTGCCTTGTGGTTGATGTTTTATTTGTTTTTAAGGTTACAATTTGCCTTCCTTTGTGCATATATAAAAATAGATACGGGCATACCTTGGAGATATTGCGGGTTGGGTTCCAGACCACCGCAATAAAGTGAATATCACAATAAAGTGAGTCTCGTGAATTTTTGGTTTCCCATATAAAAGTTAGGTTTACACTGTACTGTAGTCTATTAAGTATGCAGTAGCATTATGTCTAAAAAAAGCAATGTACAACCTTAATTTAAAAAATACTTGATCGCTAAAAAAATGCTAACTGTCACCTGAACCTTCAGTGAGTCGTGATCCTTTTGCTGGTGGAGGGTCTCGTAAAAAATGCAGTATCTGTGAAGTACAATAAAATGAGGTATGCCTGTATTTCAAAACTTATTTAGAACCCTATCAGCTGAATAAAACTAAAAAATTGTGAATATTTATCATCATGGAGAAAAACTAGGTGATTGATATTCATTAACATCATTTTTTCTGTTGTGTTTCTAGTGTGTCACAACTTACAGACATGAATGAACAAGAGGAGATATTACTAGAACAATTTCTGACTTTGCCTCAACTGAAACAAATTATTACTGACAAGGATGACTTAGTAAAAAGTATTGAGGAGCTAGCAAGTATGTCTTCCCTTACTTCTTAAATTTCCCAAGAAAAATGTATCTTTACCTAGAAATAAACCAGAAATTTACCTTACAGGAAAAAATCTCCTTTTGGAGCCCAGCTTGGAAGCCAAAAGGCAAACTGTTTTAGATAAGGTGAGTTAGTTGTCATTTTCAAGAAATCCATATAATTTTAAAATAGAATAAAACAGCATTTTGATTTTCTTTTTTTAGTATGAATTACTTACACAAATGAAATCCACTTTCGAAAAGAAGATGCAAAGGCAGCATGAACTTAGTGAGGTAAGGCTGTTGAGCTCTTTTCCTTACCATAAGAATTTTTAATCTTAACGTGTATGAGCCACCTTCTTACTTTCATTATTATCAGAAAGCATTTAGTAGGTGTCTGAGTTATAAGGCAGGATACCTTTAAATTCAGATAAATAGCTCTCAATTATGAGGCATTATAAATCATTTGTGCTCACAGAAGAGCATATTTGGTTCCAAAACAGAAAAATATGAAAAGCCCCATAAAGAATTTTCCTGGGAAAGTTCTTGTAAAGCCAGTTTAACTCCTGTAATAAAATTTAACAACAAAGAACTTTAACTTTAGGCTCACTTGAAAGCTTATGTACAGATATCTTAAATGAAAAGTTAGCAAATTGAAAAATATAACATATAAAAAGTGTGAAGTATAATTCACCACAAAAAATAGATTTTATGCTGGAAATCCAGATATACGAAAAATCAAAAGCATTTTCAACCCATATTTCTAAAAAAATAGATCTTTAAAAGTAAAAAGGGAGTAGAAGATATGATCTTTATATCTCATATCAACAACCAACATCATAATTAACATTATTCGATTTCCTTTAAAATCAGTAATTCTGGATGGTAAAGCTAATGTAGTAGAACATAAAATAGAAATAAAACAACAGCAAAAAAATAATGGTAAAGGAAAATATAAATTTAATATGGATTTCAGATAATATGATCATCCTTTACAATAAAATAAGAATAATAGCTAACCTTGAGCAAGTATTATGTCTCTTGCATTGCACTAAGCTATTTACATTTATTGCCCATTATTTCCCCCAAAACTCTATGAGGTAGATATTGTTACTATTTTCTCATTGTAGAGATAAGGAAACTGAGGCACAGGGATATTAAATAACTTCCCTGAGGTCATATTAATAGAAAGTATCAGAGTCAGGAGCCAAACATAAGCAGTCCTCCCTCACTCTTAACCAGAATATCTGAGAGAATCAACTGAAATATTCTTACATGTGTACTAGATGCTGAAGAATCTTTTCACAATAGTCAACATCATTCCTTATACAAATTCTTAGTCAACTATCCAATTAATTCCTTAATTGGATAAAGAATATTAGAAACCAACAGCAAACATCACATTTAATGACTAACATTTCCAGGGTCCCATTAATATTAGGAATAAGATAGTGATGCCCCAATATCACTACTATTTAACATTGTTTGAGAGATTCTGGCCACTGCAAGAAGACAAGAAAAAGAAATATAATGTAAAAGAAAAGATGAAACTGTAGTTGACCAAAAACAAGCAAGCAAAAATCCTAGCAAATTGAGAAAGCTTTCCCCTAGATTCCAGCAACTACCAGTGCAAAATGAAGTAGAGGAAAAAAAAAACTCATTTACAATAGCAACAAAACTGTAAAATACTTAAAACTGAACCCAATGAAGTGAGTTAGGCAACTTTACTGAATGACATAAAAGAAGACTTGAGTAAATGGAGTGACATAGAATATTCATGGACTGAAAGATACAGTATTATAAAGATTTCATTCTTCCTAAAATAACTTAAAAATTTAGTATACTTCCAGTCAAAAATCCCAAGAGCATTTTTTTTTTTAATTTTAACAGATTTATTCTAAAGTTCATCTGAAAGACTAAAGGGGTAAAAGTAGTCAGGTAGAGCTTAAACGAAAAGAAACAAAAAGGAAGACCTCCCTTCCCCAGCATCAAAATACACTGTAAAACCTCATTATTTAAAACAATAGAGTAGTTTTGTAGGAAGAGAATATTAGTTCTATGAAACAGACTATGCAGTTCAGAAACAGGTTTGTGTGTATGAGTAATTGGTTAGAAAAAATTGAGGATTTAATAAATTATTTAACTAGCAGTCCACTTAGGAAAAAGTTAGATCCCTATATCATACCACCCACAGGAAGATACTTTAGAGTAAGTGTTTAAGTGGAACCCATGAAAGGCAACTATCTCCTAGGATTTTTTTTTAAGATTATAGTGGGAGGGGCCAGCCCCGTGGCTTAGCGGTTAAGTGCGTGTGCTCTGCTACTGGCGGCCCGGGTTCAGATCCCGGGCGTGCACCGACGCATCGCTTCTCCGGCCATGCTGAGGCCGCATCCCACATACAGCAACTAGAAGGATGTGCAACTATGACATACAACTATCTACTGGGGCTTTGGGGAAAAAAAGGAGGAGGATTGGCAATAGATGTTAGCTCAGAGCCGGTCTTCCTCAGCAAAAAGAGGAGGATTAGCACGGATGTTAGCTCAGGGCTGATCTTCCTCACAAAAAAAAAAAAAAAAAGATTATAGTGGGAAAATCCTTTGTAAGCATGATACAAGAGGCAGAAGAATAAAAAAAAATTGATATCTTTAAGCTATATATAAATTTAAAACTTGTATTGAAGATCACAAAATCAAAAGTGAAGTAAAGAAAAGGGAACAAATATTTGTAGCATATATGACAAATATTAATGCCAGTAGTCCACACAAATAGGCAAAGGAAAGAACAGGAAACTCACAAAAGGAAAAATATGGATGTCCAATAAACATTCCGATATAACAGTTACTCTGACCCCTGGACCATTTATATAAGAATTGCTTGAAGTGATTCTTAAACACTTAAAAAGAACAAACCTTGATTCCTAGGCTCTTCTCTAGATGTGCTCCCTCAGAATCTCTGGGGATGATGAATTATCTACACTCTGAAGTACGGAAACCACTTCACCAGACTGTTGATGCCAGGAGTGCAGGAACCTGTCCTGTTTTATCCCCCTGTATACCCAATACCTGGTCAGTGCTTGGCACATAGTAGGTACTCAATATTTAGTGAATAAGTAAATGGAAACATTTGAAAAGATGCTCGACCTTACAACAGTAATAATAATAATAAGCAAAATCACATCATCTCTGTGAGCCAAACTTGTAAAAATAGATAACCAGTGTTGACAAGGGTGATAAGAAAATGGTGCATTCCTGTACATTCCTGTATGTGATGTATCACAGTGAGATACCACCTCATACCCACTAGGATAACTGTTATTAACAATAGTTTTAGTTCCTATATTTAGGTCTTTGATCCATTTTGATCAATATAATTTATTTTTATATATGAGGTAAAGTAAGGGTCTAACTTCATTGTGCATGTGGATATCCACTTTTCCAAGCACCATTTGTTGAAGACTGTCCTTTCCCCCACTGGATGGTTTTGGCATGCTTTTTGAAAATATTTGACCATACATGGGAGAGTATATTTCTGGGCTCACTGTTCCATTGATCTCTGTGTCTCTTCTTATTGCCAGTACCACACTGTTTCAATTACTGTATCTTTATAGTAAGTTTTGAAAGCAGGAAGTATGAACTCTCCAACTTTGTTCTTCTTTTTTAAGATTGTTTTGGCTATTTGGGGTCTCTTGAGATTCCATATGAATTTTAGGATGGGTTTTTCTTTTTCTGCAAAAAACAATATTGAGATTTTGATAGGGATTGCATTGACTCTGTAGATCACTTTGGATAGTATTGTCTTCTTAACAATATTAAATCTTCTAATCCATGAATGCAGTATGTCTTTCCACTTATTTACATCATCTTCAATTTCTTTCAGCAGTGTTTTGTAGTTTTTAGTGTACAAGTCTTTCGCCTCTTTGGTTAAATTTAATCCCATCACTTTTGCCATATTTTCATTGGCAAAGTGTTAGGTCCTGGCCCACACTCAAGGGGATTAAACAAGGGCAGGAATACCAGGAGATTGAGATCATGGGGGATCATCTTAGAGGATGCGTACCACTATGAGCTGATTCCTAAATCCCCAAGAAAGGACACTAATTTGCCCAGCTTCTCTCATTTAATAGTTTGCAGCCAGTGGCTTGGTTTCTCTTGTGTTAGGTACCCACCCCTATATCGACAAGCTGAGGAGCTGGTGGTGGCAGATTTCTTCAAGAAGGGGCTACGTAAGGCACATAATGAACTGCTTCTCCCTACCGCTGCCTCCTTTTCTTTCCGTCTAAGGAGTTTTGCTGACCATTATAAACTAATGTAGTGCTTGCTTTTCTTTTTCAGAGCTGTAGTGCGAGTGCCCTGCAGGCGAGGTTGAAAGTAGCTGCACACGAAGCTGAGGAAGAATCTGATGATATTGCTGAAGGTTTCTTGGAGGGAAAAACTGAAATAGATGATTTTCTCAGTAGCTTCATGGAAAAGAGAACAGTATGTAATACTCTTCAGTCGAGGACCAGTGACAGCACAATATCAAATTAAGTCTATTCATGAGTAAAAGGACGTTAGCACATTACTGGGCTGGAGTTTTGAGTGCTCTGAGAGGAAACTTAAGAGCTTCTGTTGAGAAAGATAGCAGCGTCCTACTGTCTCTTTAGACCTGCTTGTTGTGAGTACACAAGCAGGTGAATGGAATGATAGTTCTGTTTCAGAAGGGGTAGAATCTGTGTCATTCTGTAGTCAAACTAGTAAATTAGCTTCAGTCTAGTCTCAATAGTTGTAATATACTCCTGAGTAACCTGTTTCACAAGTTGTTTAAAAAGAGAATAATCCGTACAGATTAAAAAATATTTTTTAATGTTATTGAGAACTGTCTGGAACAGTTTCTCTTCTGATATTTCCATTATATTTAAAGAAAAATCGAAAAAGTCTGCTTAGCAATATCCTGCCCCTTTGTTAGAGTACTAAATAACCTAATTTCTCTGAAACATCACATTTAAAAAATAACCTCTTGTTACTAAACTTTTAAAAACGTGGGGGTGGGTGGGTGGGTGTGTGTGTGTGTGTGTGTGTCGTATTAAGGAAAGTGGGGCAGATTTTATTATCCCCATTTTCCATAAGAGAAAATTGAAGTTCAGGGACGTTAATGACTATGGTTATAGCATTAATAAGGCATTGATTTCTGCTCCATTGTTCTTTGGTACTATGTAACTGTACCTTGAAGTTTTTATTTGGTAAGTTTCCTGGTTAACAATACTAGGATTTATTTTCTTATTTTTAAAACACAGATATTTGATATTACATAATCAAAATTGATATAAAGGATCAGAGTTTGTTTTACATTCTGCAAGTTTACATGCAAAGTTTCTCTTTCCAAACAAAATTAAATGGTTTGTTTTTTGGCTTTTTTTTTTTTTGGATTCTTAAATTCTGAGCTAGGGGCTGGCCCAGTGGCGTAGTGGTTAAGTTCTCGTGCTCTGCTTCAGCGGCCCGGTGTTTGCAGGTTCGGATCCTGGGGGCGGATCTACACACCATTATCAGGCCATGCTATGGCAGGTGTCGCACATATAAAGTAGAGGAAGATGGGCATTGGTGTTAGCCCAGGGCCAATCTTCGTCAGCAAAGAGGGGAGGATTGGCAACAGATGTTAGCTCAGGGCTAATCTTCCTCACCAAAAAAGAAAAAAAAAAATCTGAGCTACCTTAAACATTCAAAACCTAAATAATATCAACAGGTTAAAAGTTTCTTACTTAGAATTCTGTCATAATGTAAGAAGTACTAGGCAAATTGTTGGAAAAGTGACTGCTATTTTAAATTTATCTTCTAGATTTGCCACTGTAGAAGAGCCAAGGAAGAGAAACTTCAACAGGTGATAGCAATGCACAGCCAATTTCATGCTCCACTATAGGTAAATCGTATTCCAGAAGGTTTGAGGCTCAAGCCTATTGCATGACTATTCTTGAATGGAAGTGTTTTTACCAGTGCCTCTTCAGCCAGCTTCAAGCATAACACTGTCATTATAGCTATTGTGCTATATAACATAGAATGTTTTGTACTATATGTTAAGCATAATATTATATACATAAGCATATAACCATAGAAATCTTTTGGATATTTTCTCAGTATGATGTTGGCTTAAATGAACTGTTTTTTTCATTCTTTGATAGCTACTTACGTAGAACTATAAACTATCATTAGTCCTTTCTCTTGGCTGGGGTGTAGAGTATACCATTTCACTTAGTCGACATATGCCTCAGTAGTCTCCTTTGTCATTTCTTCCTTTAAAATGAACTTCCAATCTGTCTCTTTTCCATCCCACACCAGGATTATTCCAATAATTTTCTGGCCAGTCCCCTGGCTTTAGGGCTTCTCCTTCCTGCACAGCACTGACAGAATAATCCTCTTAAAATACCACTCTGATATAATTTCTCTGCTCTAGAACTCATGAGCCCCTAGCAATGACAGTAGCAATGTCAAATTTCTCTCTCTGGTTTTAAGCCTTCTATAATCTGAAGTATATCTGAGATCATCCATTTTCCCCTTTTGTTCTCTCACATGTCATGTTATTTCTTCTATCCCCATATCTTTGTTCGTGCTCTTACTTGATGTCAAGACATCCTTCCTTTTCCTCTATGTATCTTGTTTAGGGAATGATTTGGTTGCTAGCACTAGACCCCAGCCCAACGAGTTTAAGTAAAAGCTTGTGTTCTCGGATCATGCAGGGATACATTATAAAGCCAAATGCAACTAAGTGTAGCTCAGTCACCTGAGAGTGAAAACACGACTAGAGGCCACAGTAACCAAAGCAGCTCCTTTTCCTCTCACCCTTTTTGAGCTGCTTGTTTCTCATTTCTGCACCTCTGTTCTGTTCTTTTCTGTCTCTCGCTCTCATGTTCTTTCTCCCTTGCTCTTCAGAGAGCCTTTCTTTGCTACACTTGCACATGCTTCAGCATTGCTGCCCACAGGCGTGATCATATCATGACAGTTCAAGCAGCCCATGGAGACTGACAAGGGTGTCACTACAAATCCCTGGGAGAGACTGGCCCGGTATGGGTGAGGTGTCCATCCCGACCTCAGCAGTTTGGCCTGGAGATTGGTGTCATATGGTCCTCTGACCACTCAGCTGGGCTAAAGGAGTAGACTTGGAGAAGGGAGCGTGGGAGGTTCCCTAAAAAAGGGAGCAGGCTACCAGAAGGGGAAATGACAAGCATTTCTTATCTCCAGCTCAAACTCATCTGCCCCTTCTCTCAATCTAGTTATACTTAACATTAGTGCCAAGACTGAATTATTTTATATCTTATGTTACAAATCACACTGTCAATCCCTGAGGGTAAGGGTTGATTTTTAATATCAAGTGTGGATTTCTCAAGTGGGCACTGAGTAATTGCTTATTTATATGAACATGCTAGAATCCTTTCCCCACCTCTTTTCCATCATAATCAGGTTACTTTCTTATGGGTAAATCTTAATTGGAAGAGAATGTACAGGGATGAAAATTTATCATCTTAAATTAAATCTTAGGTTTTTTGATTTTCTTCTTTCCAGATTTTCCAGGTATTCCTGAAAACATGAACTGCCAAGAGAGGAATGGGACACAAAACTAAGCACATTTATATTTATGATTTGCAAATTGGCATTTTGTCACAGTGGCTGAATTCATAGGTGTACTATACAGATTGTATACAGATCTGAGACTGAATTTGTACAGATTACAATGATTGCTATGATCTTGGCTTTGAGAAATTTTTCTGCACTGTTTGCACTGTGTTTATTTATTGTTGATAAATCTTATATTTAAGTTCCACTGCTGTTCCTCTCTTATTATTGATTAAATACCTATGCATGTAATTTTAGCTGATTTCAATATTTTATAAAATTACTTCATTTTAATTTGTATTTTTAATTTGAAACTGCCTCTTTTCTTTATCAAGAATGGTTTGTTTAGATTTTTTCCTCTCAACCTTTTTTGAAAAATTACTTGAAAGACTCTCATTTTTTCCTCTTTCTTTCTGGATGATAAAACTTGCAAAACCAATTTGTTTTTAAATAGTCACAGTGTCAGGAAACACCAAACCTGCCAATGTGCTGTCTTAAGGAAGTAACTTTTAATACATACAATAAATCAGAAGAATAAACCAGCTGCTTGCTTATATTGTTGTTTTACTTTTAAAATTAAAGATGTATTTAAGAAGCAATACAGGTAAATAAATATTTTACCTAACAGAAAGAAATGCCTTTCACTTAAACTAGTCCAACATAAACTTTCATGCTAATTTTTTTTATATAAGTATTTGATGGGTTTGTGGTTGGATAAGGATATGCTAAGTTCCTAAAGTTAAAAATAATCTTTTTGTTATGAATAGTAAATCTAGACACAAACAAGTGAATGAATTTTTCTGACCTTTACTGTGAGTTAACTTTTCATAAGAGAAAAGCTATAGTAATAAATAAAACTAATATTTAATTTTTAGGCAGTCTAGTTTTTAATTGAATTTTCTCTGTAACTTGTACTGTGTTCAGCAATTTGCTTCTGTACCCTATTAAAGAATAAACACATTTTATGGGTAGCTGTAAAAGCTAATAAAAGAGAAAATCTTGAACTATTATCTGAGGCTTGGTACGGTAGTACCTAAATTACAAAACACCCTAATGCATATTTTTGTTTAAATTTCATCCCAATATGATTGTCATTCCAAACACCAGCATACAGTACAGTTTTGTCTTTATTCTTCTGATCTTCCTATATGTGTTTTTGGCAAAAGACCTTTAGGAAAAAAATTATTTTCTTGGACTTCAAAACTACTTAGTTTGTGTAAGGGCAAATATTTACATGGACTATAAAGATATAATTTGGAAAAAGAAATTAACTTCTATTAATCGCCTGTTTTCCTGGCACTGTACTAAGGGCATGCCATTTAATCTTAAAGAGGACCAGATGAGGAAGGTGTAATTATTATTGCAGATTGATTGATAGATGAGATAATTAAGGTAAGTGTTTCAAATTAGTGGCAGTCTTCTGGGCATTCAGAAACCTCTCCTTTCTGCACTGGCCAGCAGAGCTTCAATTTTCCCAACAGTCACTGCAGTGGAGGACATAATCTTTTAGTCCCAGTCTTTTGCAAACAATCATCAGGTAGTTTTCTTAAAGAAACCAGGTAGAGCCCAGAACAAGAGACCAGCAGACCACAGCCATTCTAAAAGGACATTAATTCATTTGATTACTAACTTTATTAAGCACCTACTAAGAATGAGGCATTATGGATATACTATACAACAATAACTCAAACAGTTTAGGTGCTTATCTATCTTCCCCTCCACCAAAAAATATTTTCTTATACAGTAAATCTCTTCTACATAATCACATAAGTAATTCATCTCAGTGTTCTTTAAACTATCCCAGTTTCATTCTATACCAGTTAACACAGCTTGTTTCTCCTTCCAAAATTAATTAGATAACCTCCTTATAACCCAGTCATTAAAAAGAGGAGTTTGATCATCATTATCTGCATTTAACAAATGTACAGATTAATTCAGATATAGGTCATATAAGTCATCCGGAATGAAAAAACGTCTGCATTTTAATATGTCTGTGTGAATTTTGGTTCTGTTATGGCAGTAGAAATTCTGACTTTTTTTGTAATTTTATGGCTATATTCTTAAAATTGGCCATATTGGAGAAGCAGTACCAGAGGGGGAAAAAATGCCTCCTAAAGAGATTCTGATTTACTTTAACATATAACAAAAGACTAGATGGAAATCAGAATGGTAGAGGAAAGCTTAGAAGTTATTAAATTATTCAGAGGGGGGGTTTGTACTGGGTAGAAATTTAAAGGTTAATATCTCAAAATAGAAGGAAGTTTTCTAAATAAATGAGAAACATACTAAAGATATCTGTTTCAAAATTGGAAGCTTTTCTAGGAATAAACTAGACAAGGAAATTTACATTGGAATAGCGATTGTCTGACAGGTAAGGTTGATCATAATTTATATAAGCTTAAACTGAAGGACAGCTCAGATTCATTTTCAGGGGAAGAAAGTAAACTAATCGCGTGCTCTTAAAGAATAAAAATGTATGCCAGAGTTTCCCTTCTCTTCACCTTCTTTTAATCCAAAAAAGTTCCTTTGTTGATTTCTGCATCATGATCAAAATTCTTACCTACTCCATATCATTCAGTTTTCCTGAATATCACTAAATAATAAATCTCTTGAGCTCTAAATATTACTAGTTGGGAAGTAACTTGCCTTGAGTCAGTTTTACATTAGTTTATTCTCTATGCTTTAAACCAACTGCCCTAAATAAAACACTTCCTGATTGACGTTTGATTTAAAGATTTTATTTATTCATTTTTTTCCCCCCAAAGCCCCAGTAGATAGCTGTATGTCATAGGTTCACATCCTTCTAGTTGCTGCACGTGGGACTCGGCCTCACGTTGGACGGAGAAGCGGTGCCCTGGGGCGCGCCCGGGATCCGAACCCGGGCCGCCAGCATCAGAGCGCGCGCACTTAACCGCTAAGCCACGGAGCCGGCCCTGACGTTTGATTTAAAATGAGAATTTCCTGTTAGAGATTTTAGCCTTATTGAATTGGTCTTGCTCTTTCAAGGCCCTGTGAAAGCACCATAAAGTTTTAATAAGCAATAAATGTAACCTTGTATATAAATTTCAGTGTTAGGTTAGCTTCTAATAACTAGTCTAAATGAACATATGCTTAAATTATGTCTTGTAAAATGGGGGGCTGAAAAAAGTGTGTGTGTCTAATGTGAAAGACATCACATTAAATAATTTTAAAATATCAAATATTTATACTATTTCCTTTTCAAAATAAATGCATAGTTCCCTTTGTATGGTTACTGTGTCAATTTTTTTTCAAATTTTAATTATTTATTTATTTTTGTAGATGTACACTGCCAAATGGAAGAAATTAAAGTTGCATCCTCAATATTAGGCAAAGAAGTTTCTCAGAGTTGATAACAACGAAAATGGCATGAAGTGAGTTATGTTATAAAATGCAAAAGCCATTATGACTATCTCCTAAATATTTATTGTTAACCAAGTATTCCCTACTACATACAGTATATTGCAGAAAATGAATAAACATTCCTTGTACTTAAGTGGGAACTGCTCAGTAGAGCATGCTCAAATTTTATATTCTAAAAGAATTACACTTTATTTATTTACATTAACAGAGTACTTTTATATGACAAGTCTCTAACATATTAAAGTTTTTCTATTTTTAAATATGATTAACAGTTACAATTATATTGTATTATTTCATTTACATATATTGCTACACTCCCTCCAAATCTTTCATACTAGAGATTTCACCAATATAGCCTTCTTGCCCTTTCTCTTTTCCCCCCGTTTTGTTGAGATATAACTCACATACATCACTGTAAGTTTAAGGTGTACAGCATAATAGTTTGACTTAAATATATTGTGAAATGATTACTGCAATTAGTTTAGTTAGCATCCATGATCCCATATAGCTACAATAAAAAGGGAAAGCAGAAAAATAGAAAAACAAATTTTTTTCCTTCTGATGAGAACTCTTAGGATTTACTTTCTTAACAACTTTCATGTATATCATACAGCAGTGTTAACTCTAGTCATCATGCTGTACATTACATCCCTAGGACTTATTTATCTTCTAACTGGAAGTTTCTACCTTTTGACCACCTTTCTCCAATTCCCTTCCCCCACCCCCTGCCTCTGGTAACCACACATCTGATCTCTATGAGTTTTTGTTTTTTTTTTTAGATTCTACATATAAGTTAGATCATACAGTATTTGTCTTCTGGTCTGACTTATTTCACTTAGCATAATGCCCTCAAGGGCTATCCATGTTGCCACAAATGGCAGGATTTCCTCATTTGTTATGGCTGAAGGATGTTCCACTGTATATATACACTAAGCTTCTTTATGCATTCATCCATCGATGGACACTTAGGTTGTTTCCATGTCTTGGCTATTGTAAATGCTGCTGCTATGAACATGGGGGTGCAGTTATCTTTTTGAGTTAGTGTTTTCATTTCCTTTGGATATATTCCCAGAAGTGGAATTGCTGGATCGTTGATAGTTCTATTTTTAATTTTTGAGGATCCTCCATAGTGTTTTCCATAGCAGCTGTACCAGTTTACAATCCCAGCAACAGTGCAGAAGGGTTCCCCTTTCCCACATCCTCACCAGCATTTGTTATCTCTTGTCTTTTTGATGATGGCCATCCTAACAGGCTTGAGGTGATATCTCATTGTGGTTTTGATTTCCAATTCCCTAATGACTAGTGAGGTTGAGCATCTTTTCATGTACCTGTTGGCCTTTTGGATATCTTCTTTAGAAAAGTGTCTCTCTGTCTTTTGCCCATTTTTTAATTGGATTATTTGTTTTTTTGCTATTAAGCTGTATAAGTTCTTTATATACTTTAGATGTTAACCCCTTATCATATATATGGTTTGCAAATATCTTTTCCAATTCTGTAGGTTGTCTTTTCACTTTCTTGATTGTTTCTTTTGCTGTGCAGAAGCTTTTTAGTTGTGGTTCCACTTGTTTATTTTTTATTTTGTTGCTTGTGCTTTAGGTGTCACATCCAAAAAAATCACTGCCAAGATCCATGTCAAGGAGTTTACTGCCTCTGTTTTCTTCTCGGAGTTTCATGGTTTCAGGTCTTATGTTTAGGTCTTTAATCCATTTGGAGTTAATTTTTGTGAGTGGTGTAAGATAGTGGTCTAGTTTCATTCTTTTACATGTGAATATTCAATTTTTCCAGGACCATTTATTGAAGAGACTGTCTTTTCTCCATTGAGTATTCGTGGCTCCCTTGTCAAATGTTAGTTGACCTTACATGCTTGAATTTATTTCTGGGCTCTTGATTCTGTTCCATTGATCTATTTGTCTTTTTTTATGCCACTACCATACTGTTTTTATTACTATAACTTTATAGTATAGCTTGAAATGAAGAAGTGTGATGCCTCCCACTTAGTTCTTTCTCAGGATTTGGTTATTCAGGATCTTTGGTGGTTCCATATAAATTTTAGGATTGTTTTTTCTACTTCTGTAAAACATGCCATTGAACTCTTGACAGGGATTGCACTGAACCTAGAGATGGCTTTTGGCAGTATGGACATTTTGACAATATTAATTCTTCCAATCCATGAACACAGGATAGCTTTCCATTTATGTGTGTCATCTTTGATTTCTTTCATCAGTGTCTTGCAGTTTTCAGAGTAGAGATCTTTCACCTCCTTGGTTAAGTTTAGTCCTAAGTATTTTACTGTTTTTGATGCTATTGTAAATGGGATCATTTTCTTTAGTTCTTTTTCAGATAATTTATTGTTAGTGTATAGAAATGCTACTGATTTTTTTATGTTAATTTTGTATCCTGCAACTTGACTGAATTCATTAATTAGATCTAACAGTTTCTTGGTGGAGTTTTTAGGATTTTCTATACATAAAATCATATCATCTGCAAACAGAGACACTTTTACTTCTTCTTTTCTGATTCTGATGCCTTTTCTTTTTCTTGTCTGATTGCTCTGTCAAGGACTTCCAGTACTATGTTGAATAGGAGTGGTGAGAGTGGGCACCCTTTTCTTGTTTCTGATCTTAGAGGAAAAACTTTTAGCCTTTCAATGGCCCTTATTATGTTGGGGTACGTTCCTTCTATACCTAATTTAAGAGTTTTATGATGAATGGACATTGAGTTTTGTCAGCTGTTATTTCTGTGTCTATTGAGATGATCATATGATTTTTTTCTTTCTATTAATGTGATGTAGCACATTGATTTGCATATATATTGAAC